TCACACCACTGCACTCCAGTCTGGGCTACAGAGCAAGACTCCATCTCAAAAAAAAAAAAAGGCCACAACGTGGTGTTCACCACATCCATTTACATCCCACTGGCTAGAACTATGATGAATGATGCAGCTGGCCTCAGAGGGGTCTGGTTAACAGCCTCTCACAGCTTTTAGTTAGGTGGATTATCATATACCTGGCCACATCTTGGGAGTTATATCATTAAAGGAAGAAGAGAAGAATGAATTCTGGTGAACAACTAGCAACAGTTTGCTTGTTTCATCCTATGAAGCAAGGTTACTGCTTCCATCTTGCTGATGAAAGACATTGAGGCTCAGAGAGTTTAAGAAATTGCCCAGACACAGAAAGTACAATAAAGCATAAAGAGAAACAACAAAAAGTTAAAAAGCAGGGGGAATGAAGTGACAGTGTAGAGATTTTTTTTGAGACAGAGTCTTGCTCTGTTGCCCAGGCTGGAGTGCAGTGGCGCAATCTTGGCTCACTGAAACCTCTGCCTCCCAGGTTTAGGCGATTCTCCGGTCTCAGCCTCCCAAGTAGCTGGGACTACAGGCTTGCACCACCATGTCTGGCTAATTTTTATTTTTTACTTTTAGTGGAGATGGGGTTTCACCATATTAACAAGGCTGATCTTGAACTCCTGACTTCAGGTGATCCACCTGCCTCGGCCTCCCAAAGTGCTGGGATTACAGGTGTGAACCACTTTGCTTGGCCTCTCAAACTCTTAAGTGATCCTGCCTTGGCCTCCCAAAGTGTTGAGATTACAGACATGAGCACCCAGCCTCATTTTCAGTTTTAATCAGGATGTTAAACACATTAAAGCTTTTGTAGGATAGCTCCATTTTTCTTTTAAATCTTGGGAACCTGTTTGTGTATGTTACTATCAACTCCTTAGTAATGTTTTTGTGGTTTCTGCGGATTTAAATTTTCCCCAGCAGCAAGAGCTTGTTGGTTTTCATTTATTCTTGAGTGGATGGAAATACCAGTTCCACTGCCTCATGCAGGTGTGGAGTCAGGAATGGCTCACCCTCATGAGGATAGTTGGAAGCCTACACGATGCTGTCTTTGGCTCCAGGAGATGAAAGCCAGGATTAGGGGCCCGCATCAATTTCAAAGGAGCTCTGAGTGCCTTGGGATCCTTCTCAAAGGCTGTGGGAGCATTAGAAACACAGGCATTTCATGCTCACCAGGAGAAGTCAGGAGATCTGGGAGCCAGTTTAGTTCTGAACCACTTGCTGAGACTTGGAGAGATCACCCTCCTCTGTGTCTCACAAGTCATCAAAGAGAGGAATTGGCATTGATGATCGCTTCCCTCTTTGACATTTCCAGACTCTGTACTTAATTCGAAACTCATAAATGTAAGGATTGATGAGGATATGGGGGTGTGGTAAGTGCACTGTCTCCTCAGACTGGAAACACTTAACAGGAGCGTTTCCTGCGTGTCAAAGACACCTTTGAATTGCACAGGCAGAAATTGAGTCCCTTTTCCAGTTCTCTTTCAAACCTCTGGTGACTTTAAGGGACCACTTTGGTTTGGTGCCAGTGTGTCTTTAAACAATTCTATTTATGGACATTGTGTGTGTGCATATAATGATCTATTTATCTACACATAAATGTATAAAATTATATGTATGTAATTTTAGTTTTTAAAGGATCATGCAGTAAAATTGAATGTTTTTAGAGTTCAGTTTAACGAATTTTTTTTTTTTTTTGAGACGAAGTCTTGCTCTGTTGCTAGGCTGGAGTGCAGTGGCGTGATCTCAGCTCACTGCAACCTCTGCCTCTTGGGTTCAAGCAATTCTCCCATCTCAGCCTCCCAAAGTGCTGGGATTACAGGCGTGAGCCACCATGCCCAGCCTATTTTGTTGTACTTTATGTTTTAAGCAAGACAGAGAGTTTTGCTCTGTCATCTAGGCTGGAGTACAGTTGCATAATCATGGCTCACTGCAACCTCAAACTCCTGGGCTCAAGGGATCTTCCCACCTCAGCCTCCAGTATCTGGGACTACAGCTGCATGCCATGTATATGTATGTATGTATGTATATATATATATATACATACATGGAGTCTTGCTCTGTCACCTAGGCTGGAGTGCAATGGTACTATCTTGGTTCACTGCAAACTCTGACTCCCAGGTTCAGGTGATTCTCCTGCCTCAGCCTCCTGAGTAGCTGGGATTATAGGCGCCCACCACCATGTCCAGCCAAATTTTATATTTTTAGTAGAGACCAGATTTCACCATGTTGGCCAGGCTGGTCTCAAACTCCTGACCTCAGGTGATCTACCCACCTTGGCCTCCCAAAGTGCTGGGATTACAGGTGTGAGCCACTACACCCAGCCTAATTATTTTTTATTAAAAAATATATATTTTTTGTAGAGATGGGGGCCTCACTCTGTTGCCCAGACTGGTCTCAAACTCCTGGGCTCAAGCAATCCTTTCACCTTGGCCTTCCAAAGTCCTGGGATTACAAGCGTGAGCCACTGCACCTGGCCTGTCGTTTCAGTAGTTTGCCCTCTTTATTGCTGAGCAGCGTTTCATGATGTGAGTGTCTCACAGTTTGTTTAACCATTCCCCTCTTAAGGGCTATTTCGTTTTTTTTTTCCAGTTTTTGGCTATTGCAAATAAAGCTCCTATGAATAATCACATGCAGGTTGCGTGCAGTTGAATATTGTTCAAAATCCTCTCTGGCTTTCTAGTTCACTTAGAATAAAATTCTCAGTCCTCATGCAGTCTGTAAAATCACACCTGCCTGTCCTTTGTCTACCCTTTGATGGGATCTCCTCCTTGCCTCCTCTTTGCTCTCTTTCTTCCAGCTATCCTGGCTTTCCTGACTTTCTCTGCACATGCAAATCCCATGCCGTTTGTAATGAGTTGAATGGTGGACCCTCAAATGTCCATTCAGAACCTGCAAATTTGACCTTACTTGGAAAATGTGCCTTTGAAGAAGTAGTTAAGTGAGGGGTCTCAAGATGAGGCTCTCCTGGATTAGGGTGGTCCCTAAATGCAATGACAAGTGTCCTTGTAAGAGACAGAGGAGGAGGTGCAGGCACAGGGAATAAGGCTGTCGGAAGATGTACGCAGAAATTGGAGTGCTGCAGCCACACGCCACAGGATGCCTGGGGCCCCTTGTAGTTGGACGAGGTAAGGATCCTCCCCTAGAGATCTTTAGAGATGTGTGGCCCAGCTGATGCCTCGAGGCCGAACTTCCAGTCTCCAGAAGTGTAAGAGAATTAATTCCTGTTGTTTGAAGCCACTAAGTTTGTGGTAATGTGTTAAGGCCACTAACGGAAATTAACAAACCACCTCAGGGCCTTTGCATGTGCCATCTCCTCTACCTGGATTACTCTTTCCCCAGATCCTTGTGGGGTCCATGCCCTCACTTTCTCCTGGTCTCTCTGCTCAACTGTCACCTCCTTAGAGAGTCCTCCTGCTCATCCTAGCTAAGAAATGCCCATACTGTATCCCTCTAACTTTATAATTTGTTGCACTTCTCTTTAAATATCAATCAATTTAGATACTTGGTATTTGTTTCCTCCTCCCCCATTCCCCCCCCCTTTTTTTTTAAAGAGACAGGGTCTTGCTCTGTTGTCCAAGCTTGGCACAATCACAGCTCACTATAACCTCTTGGGTTCAAGCGATCCTCCCTCCTCAGCCTCCCAAACAGCCAATTTTTCTGCCTTTTTTTTTTTTTTTTTGAGACAGAGTCTCACTCTGTCGCCCAGGCTCAAGCGATTCTCCTGCCTCATTTTTTTTTTTTTTTTTTTTTTTGAGACAGAGTCTCACTCCATCACCAGGTGCCATGCTGGAGTGCAGTGGCGCGACCTCGGCTCACTGTAACCTCCTCCTCCTGGGTTCAAGCAATTCTCCTGCCTCAGCCTCCGAAGTAGCTGGGACTACAGGTGCGCACCACCATGCCCAGCTAATTTTTTTGTATTTTTGTAGAAATGGGGTTTCACCATGTTGGCCAGGATGGTCTCGATCTCTTAACCTCGTGATCCACCCGCCTTGGTCTCCCAAAGTGCTGGGATTACAGGCGTGAGCCACCGTGCCTGGCCTCTCCTCCCTCAGTTTTATTTATCTATTTTTTGAGAGACAGGGTCTCAGTTTGTTGCCCAGGCTGGTCTCAAATTTGTGGCCTCAAGCAATCCTCCTGTCTTGGCCTCCCAAAGTGCTGGGATTACAGGTGTAAGCCACCACACCGGGCCCAATTTTTGTCTACTCTTAAGCTTCCCTGAATGTTAACACCTTATATAACCATGATACATTTACTGACACAAAAAGATGAACGCTGGTTCATTACTATTAACTCAACTCCAGACTTTATTTGCATTTCACCAGCTTTATCCACAAATTTGTCCTTTTTTTGATACCTGGATTCAGCCCAGAGTAGTATATTAAACTTAGTTCTCACGTCTCCTTTCCCTCCTCTGGTCTGTGCCAGTTCCTCGGTCTTTCTTGGTTTTTCATGACCTTGACAGTTTTGGAGGTCTGGTCAGGCATTTTGTAGAATGTGCCTCAATTTGGGTTTCCTTTGCTGGCTACTATTTCTTTTATAAACAATATACACACATACGCACACATATATACATGCATAAATACTTATAGTGTGGAAATACACATAACATAAAATCTACCATTTTAAGCATTATTATTATATTTTTTGAGACACGGTCTTCTTGCTCTGTTGCCCAGGCTAGGGTGCAGTGGTCTGGCCACACTGATGTGGAAAGCAAGCTGTGTTCGGAGGACCTGAACCTAGGGCTTGCAAATGTGGGGCCAATGGCAGGCTGTGGAAGGTGGGTCCCCAAAGGTCTTCGCTCCTGGAGCCGCTGAGGGGCGTGGCCTCCTGGTTTAAAAAAAAAAAAAAAAAAAAATCGCTTCGAGGCCTGCAGTGCAAGCCAATGAAAGGCTAGGGTAGGTGGGGCCTGCGCGCGAGGCGGCCAGTAGAGGGAAGGCTCTTTCGCGTGGCCCCCCGAGCGTGGTTCCGACTGCGCAGGCGCACCGGCCGGACTACGGGACGCCGCTGAGCCAAGTGGCCGAAAGGGGCACGGCTGCGCTCCTGGGTCACGTGACACGGAGGGGGTCCGAATTCTGGTGGAGGCAGCGCCCTATCCTGGAGGTGAAGGTGAATAACCTCGGCGGTCGAGCTGGTGACGGAGAACCGCATACTGATGCGATGCGACCTCGACTCGTGGCTTGGGCCAGTGCGCTCTCCAAGGGAGAGGCGTGGCTTGCGCAGAGGGTCGCTCCTTCTAACTCAGGGGGCGTGACCTCGTTCCTCTAGGTGACGTAACGTGGGGCTGAGATTTGGGGTCCCGTTGTGGAAAGAGAGGCGGGGCTTCCGCTTGTCCATTGAGAAGTAGGTAAGTGGAAGATAACTGTGTAGTGCTGTTGTCACCGCCGTGACCTGTGGTGGCTAGTTTGGGTGGGAGTGGTGGTGACGTAAAGGACTGGGGTTAGCGCCGCGTGGGGCGTGACTTTGTCTCAGAGAGGCGGCCTCACCCAGTGCCTAGGCGCACAAGGGGCGTGGCCTGGCAGCGTTGGGGGTGTGGCCGCACCGAAACTGGAGCCAAGGGGCGTGGCCCTGGATTCGGGCTGGAGGAGGGGGCGCGATTTCTTCCGAATAAGATCACTGTCGCGCCCCAGTCTGGGCAGTGCTCTTTCTCTATCAGGTGCCACCTCATGGAGATCCCGGAGGCCGCCGCCCCTGTCGGGAGTTTCTTCCCCTTCTTTCTGCTCCTGGCCTGCGGGACGCTGGTGGCCGCCTTGCTGGGCGCCGCGCACCGCCTGGGACTCTTCTATCAGCTGCTGCACAAGGTGCGGGGCAAGGAATGGGAAGCGGGCTGGTGGTAGCCAAAGAGGGAGGGGCCTTGGGACGCTGCTTCCAGTTCACTCCTCATTGTGCAGCGTGGGAAAGCGAGTCCCGACTAGCCCAGAGGGACTGGTAAGAGGTTCTGTCCATGACCCTGTCTCCGTTGCCACGCTGCCTGCCTATGGGGGCCTGAACTTTGCCACTAGTGATAGAGAACACGGAAGCGGCCTCTGCCCGGGCACTCAAACCCCGCCTACCTCCTTCCCCAGTGGCTCTTTTCACAGACAGCACTCTGATTGTGCTCCCTAAACTGGATGGGATAGATGGGGCTGAGGGCAGGCACCAGCAAGGAGATGGCAGTGAGTTTCGTGACAGTTGCCCTTTGCTGAGTTCAACACTTTAGACTTTCTTACCTACCCCTTACCTTTTCCTTGAAAGTAGATGCTGTTCTTTCTGACCTCATTTTCTGCAGGAGAAAGCTAAGTCTCAGAGAGATTGTGTGGTAGTTTTCCCTAGGTGGCCCCACATGCCTCCCCCACGAACTACTTGCACACCTGTTTGAAATTTACCCCTTCCGCAGACCCCCTTCTCAACCCTTTCTCTCCTAGCAGGGACCAAGTTTGACCTCTCCCTCCCCAAACCCTTCTCTAGTCCTTCTTCTGCTAGCCAGGGGTGATGCCACTGACCTTCAGGACTTGTGGAGATTTAAAGCAAGCCTTGGATGTGCGGAACTGTGAGGCTGCTGGGGTTGGGAGGCCTCGGTACAGTGTGTGCCAGGAGCTAACTCCCGTGCCAGGCACATGGTGGCTCAGGGCAGTTTAACATCCATCAAGAGGGCATCAGGGAGGCTGGGATCAGCAGTCCAGCTGCCAGGCCCTGCAGCAATACTAGAGGGCAGGCAGGAGTCATAGCAAATGGCTCTCTGCCTTGTGCCCTGGCTAAACCTCCTGGGTTATATAACCCTCTCCTCTCTCCCTGATTGCCTTGCCATCCCGGAGGCAGGAAGTGTAACAGTATGGCACTTAAGAGTGTGGGTTCTATTGGACTTTCAATCTTGCTTGGGCAAGTGTTGATGTCCTCAGCTATAAGAGATGTAATGACAAGAAATTCTGATAAGACGCTTTGCCTTGCTTTGAGCCTGGTGTGTAGTGTAATATATGCCTAACCAAGACTAAGCTTCCCTTGACCTCCCACCCTGCTCCTGCCCCCTTACCTGGGTCAGGGGGATTGCCCCCTCTCCCAGCTGTCCTCTGGCGTGGCCTTTGACTCTATTGCTCCACCCACTCCTTGGGTCCAGGTGGACAAGGCAAGCGTCCGGCATGGCGGAGAGAACGTGGCCATTGTGCTGAGGGCCCATGGCGTGCGGTTCGTCTTCACGCTGGTCGGTGGGCACATTTCCCCGCTGCTGGTGGCCTGTGAGAAACTGGGCATCCGTGTGGTGGACACACGCCATGAGGTCACAGCTGTCTTTGCTGCCGATGCTACTGCCCGCCTGTCTGGTGAGGGCATTGCAGAGAGGGCTGGGGACTGTTGGATAGAATAGTGGTGGGAGAATGGCCAGAAGAGTGGGCGTGGCAGTGATGGGCTCTGTGTTCCAGGAACGGTGGGAGTGGCAGCAGTGACGGCTGGCCCTGGCCTCACCAACACAGTGACTGCGGTGAAGAACGCTCAGATGGCCCATTCCCCAGTCTTGCTTCTGGGTGGGGCCGCCAGCACTCTGCTGCAGGTACCCAGTCCATGGCGGCCAGTGGGGGCCCAGGGGGACTTAAAGGGCTCATGTGGTAACCCTGCCGCACCTCTGTCTTTGCCAGAACCGGGGTGCGCTCCAGGCCGTGGATCAGCTGTCCCTGTTTCGGCCACTCTGTAAGTTCTGTGCATCCGTGCGGAGGGTTCGGGACATCGTGCCCACCCTCAGGGCCGCAATGGCTGCTGCCCAGTCGGGCACCCCAGGTAGGTGGAGGATGGTGGTGCTGAGCAGCACTGGGGCTGAGGGGCTGGGGAGGCGTGTTGCAGACTCAGTGTCATCCCCGTCCCCGCAGGTCCGGTGTTTGTGGAGCTGCCCATTGATGTGCTGTACCCCTACTTCATGGTCCAGAAGGAGATGGTGCCAGCCAAGCCACCCAAGGGCCTTGTGGGCCGAGCGGTCTCCTGGTGAATAGCCCCACCCTGCCATTCCCTCCTCCATCCCCTGTCCTCTCCTGCAGCTTCCAGCTCGTGCCCATTCTCCTTTGATTCATATGTGGACTGGGAGGAGACTGCTGTGCAGAGAGCATTCCAGGTAGAAGGAACAGCATGTGCAAAGGTCCTGAGGCAGCAATGAATTGAGTGGATGGGGGAAGCAAGGTGGCCCTCATGGAGGCAGCAGAGGGGAGAGGCTCAGAACAGCCCTCCTCCTCCTCTTCTTCCTTTTCTTCTCCTCTTCCATCATCTCTTCTTCCTTTTCCTCCTCCCTCATCCTTCCTCTTCTCCTCCCTTTCCTCCTCTCTCTTTCCCCTCATCCTCTCCATTTTCCTCTCCCTAAAGGATGATCCTTGAACCTCAGAAGGGAGATTCACTTTTATATTTACAGTGGAGGAAGCTCAAAAAGGTGAAGTCTCTTGCCCAAAGTCACACAGCTAAGAAGTGGCAGAGCCCAGACTCGAGCCCTCTCCTTCCCGCTTCTTTCCTTCCTTCACATCTTTGTCCCCCCTGGCTTCCAGGTCACTCCCTTCCCTTGTTCTCCTCGTCCTTCTCTCTTGAGCTGTGTCTCACAGGCTCTCTCTTTTCTTGCCCCCTTTTTTTTTTTGAGACAGGGTCTCACTCTGTTACCCAGGCTAGAGTGCAGTGGTGCGATCATAGCTTACCACAGCCTTGAACTCCTGGCCTCAGTCAATCCTCCTGCCTCAGTTTCCCTTGCCTTTTTTTTTTTTTTAATATGCAGAGTTTCCCACGGTTCCATCCTTAGCTGCTTCTCCTGTGCTATCTTGGCCTGTCCTTTTTTTTTGAAATGGAATCTCACTCTGTCGCCCAGGCTGGAGTGCAGTGGTGCAATCTTGGCGCACTGCAACCTCTGCCTCCCAGGTTCAAGCAATTCTCCTGCTTCAGCCTCCCGAGTAGCTGGGATTACAGGCACACGCCACCACACCCAGCTAATTTTTGTTTCAGTAGAGATGTGGTTTCACCATGTTGGCCAGTATGGTCTCCAACTGCTTGACCTTGTGATCCACCCACCTTGGCCTCCCAAAGTGCTGGGATTACAGGTGTGAGCCACTGCGCCCAGCTTTGGCCTGTCCTTAACAGCCAAAGCAGAGGCTTCTGGCTCAGGGCTCTGACTGCTTCTTGTCAATGCCCATATGTCTGTCTTTGGCTGGACAGAGTGCTCCCTAAGAGCAGGGCTTGGCAGGATCTATCTATTTCCAGGGCCCTGCACAGGCCCTTCAGGAAAGTTGGGGCCCTGGGGCCCAGTGGGTAAGGAGACCCAGAAGGCCATCTGAAGCGAGAGAGGACAGTGTTCCTAACTTCCGTGGATCGAGTATTATGCAAAGCGCCTCACGACCTAAATGGATAGATCCTTGAAGCTCAGGAGGGAGGTTCATATTTCCATTTACAGAGGCGGAAGCTCAGAAGGGTGAAGTCACTTGACCTAGGTTGCATAGCTGGGAAGTGACAGAGCCAGGACCCGAGTGCATATCTGTTGGACCCACAGGCTTACTCCTGGCATGCTGAGCCTGCGTTCCTTGCTTCTGGGGGCTAAGTGGAGTTGGGGTGGGCACCAGAGGCTTCCGAGGGGAAACAGGCAGCTGGAGACTTGGCCACCACGGTTCACCTGTCCCTGCACTGTCACTTATCCACCCCCGTCCCCATGCCACTTAGCCCCTGGCTTTTTTCCTGGCCCTTTCTTGCCCCCTCTCCTCCCTCAGATCCTGGAATCCTTGTAATTAATCCTGGTAACTTGGTTCTTTCCCCTCCCACTTGCAGGTATTTAGAGAATTACCTGGCCAACCTCTTTGCAGGGGCCTGGGAGCCTCAGCCTGAGGGCCCGCTGCCCCTGGACATCCCCCAGGCTGCCCCCCAGCAGGTGAATTGAGTCTCTTTTCTGTCTGAGGACTCCACCTGGCACAGCCCCCTGACCCTCTCCCTGAGTCAGTATTGGGGCCTTGATCTTGGGTGCTCATGGAGATTGAAGGACAGCCCTCTGGCCAGGTGTGGTGGCTCATGGTGGTAATTCTAATACTTAAGGAGGCTGAGGCGGGTGGATCACTTGAGGCTAGGAGTTCAAGACCAGCTTGGCCAACATGGTAAAACTGTCTCCACTAAAAATACAAAAATTAGCTGGGCATGGTCACGTGTGCCTTAATCGCAGCTACTCCAGAAGAGGCTGGAGGATTGCTTGAACCCCAGAGGTGGAGGCTTCAGTGAGCCGAGATCACGCCACTGCACTCCAGCCTGGGAAACAGAGTGAAACTATGTCTCAAAAAATAAATAAAAAGACAGTCCTTTGAGCCCTGCCTCTCACCCTAGGTTCAGCGCTGTGTGGAGATCCTGAGCCGGGCCAAGAGGCCCCTGATGGTCCTAGGGAGTCAGGCCCTGCTCACTCCGACGCCCGCTGACAAGCTTCAGTGAGAAGCCCCAGCCCTGCCCTTGTTTTCCAGTTCCTGGTGTGGGGTCCTCAGGTGCTCCTGGGGAGGGGCAGGGGCCCTGGCCACACTGACCTCTGCTCTGCCTGGACTCCCAGGGCTGCTGTGGAGACCCTGGGTGTTCCCTGCTTCCTCGGGGGGATGGCACGGGGGCTGTTAGGCCGAAATCACCCCCTCCACATACGGCAGAACCGCAGCGCGGCTCTGAAGAAGGCGGATGTCATTGTCTTAGCAGGTGGGCCTGAGCCTCTTTCTTTCCCTCCTTCCCCCAGGAACCCCCTCACCCTATCACCCAGCATCATACAAAGGAGGATGAATGTCTAGTGGGCACCTACAGTACTTGATACACATTTTTACATAAAAAGCTTTGAACCCCACCAGATGCATTATAGGTGTATCAGTTAGCTACTGCCCTGTAACAACCATCCCCAAACTCAATGGCTGAAAATGCATTTCTGATTTCTCAAGACCCACCTATAAGGTAGGTGGTAGCTGTGGTTTTAGCTGGGCTCATCCATGAGTCTGCACTTGGGTAGGCAGAAAGGCAGCTGTGCTGATCTAGGCTGGGCTCACTCACCTGTTTGGGGATTGGCCTGCAGCTAGTCTGGATGGCCTCAGCTGGGGTCACAGAGTTCTTCACCCCTGTCTCCATGCCTCCCACATTTCTCATCCTCCAGCAGGCCAGCCTGGGCCAGACCACTTGGTGAAGGATGAGAAAACTCTAGGGCTGGGAGAGCAGTTCTTCGAGAGAGAGAGAGTGGAGGCTGTGTGGCTTCTTGAAGTTGAGTCTGCAGGAATGGGGCAGGGGGCCCTGAATCATCTGGAGGTGTCTTCACTCAGAGGACTTGGAATTGACGCCAGCTGTTGCTGGAGCTGTGGACTAGGGCAACTATGCACACCTCTCCATGTGGCTTGGGTTTCCTTCCAACATGGTGGCCTTGGGGTAGTCAGACTTCTTAGACAGCCACCCAGGCCTCTAAAAGTGAACAAGGAAGAAACTGCATCTCTTTTGACCTAGCCTCAGGTGTCATGCTGTGTCATTTCTGCCACCAGACTCAAGGAAAAGGGGCGCAGGTCGCACCTTTCTCCATGGGTGGCATGTCAGGGGGACCTAGTACAAGTGGAGGCAGGGTGGGAGATATTATGGCCATCTGGGAAAACAGAACCCGTCTTTGCCCTGTCTTGTTTGCCAAAGCATGTCATATGGCCAGCCCAGATTCAAGGGGCGTGGGGAGCTGTGAAGTCACTGCAGGTGGCACAGGTGCAGGAGACTCTGTGAGGAACAGGGACTCTTTTGCATTGAGTCCCCCACATTGGATCAAGTAAGGAAGAGGACACGGGCCCTCTGTCCACTGCGTCCCCTTCCCCCACCCCAGGAACCGTGTGCGACTTCCGCCTATCCTATGGGCGTGTCTTCAGCAGCAGCAGCAAGATCATCATCATCAATCGGAACCGGGAAGAGATGTTGCTCAACTCAGACATCTTCTGGAAGCCCCAGGAGGCTGTGCAGGGTGAGCCCCCTTATCCCCCCTTACACATATGCGCTCCTTCTGGTCCCTATCCTCCTGGCTTCTGCTGCAGGTGGCTTGAGCGTGGTATGATGATTGAGGCCCAGACCTTGTCCTAGAGGGCAGCCAGTGAACCGGAGACAAATAGTTGGCTCTCAAACTGATGAATGCTTCTTTCTTTAAATTTACCTTATTTTATGGCTGGGCACAGTGGATCATGACTGTAAACCCAGCATTTTGGGAGGCCGAAGCGGGCAGATCACAAAGTCAAGACATCGAGACCATCCTGGCCAACATGGTGAAAAACCCCATCTCAAAAAAAAAAAAAAAAGAAAAGAAAAAAATTTATTTTATTTTATTTTTGAGATGGAGTCTTGCTCTGTCGCCAGGTTGGAGTGCAGAGGTGTGATGGTTCACGCAATCTCCGCCTCCCAGGTTCAAGCAATTCTCCTGCCTCAGCCTCCCGAGTAGCTGGGACTACAGGTGCCCACCACCATGCCCAGCTAATTTTTTTGTACTTTTAGTAGAGATGGGGTTTCACAGTGTTGGCCAGGATGGTCTTGATCTCTTGACCTTGTGATCTGCCTGCCTTGGCTTTCCAAAGTGCTGGGATTACAGGCGTGTGCCACTGTACCTGGCCCCCTTTTTTTTTTTTTAATTTTTTAGAGATGAGGTCTTACTCTGTCACCCAGGCTGGAATGCAGTAGTGCCATCCCAGTTCACTGCAGCCTCCAACTCCCAGGCTCAAGCAATCCTTCCACCTCAGCCTCCTGAGAAGCTGGGACTACAAGCGTGCACCACCATGCCAGGCTAATTTTTAAATTTCTTTTTGTGGAATCGGTATCTCACTATGTTGTCCAGGCTGGTGGTGAACTCCTGGCCTCAAGTGGTCCTTCTGCCTTGGCCTCTCAAAGTGCCGGGATTACAGACCAGAGCTACTGCGGCCAACCTGACAGATGCTTCTGTAGGACAAATGGTGGGGTGGACACAGAGGGAGGTAACGTGCATGTGATTATGTTCCCTCCCACCCTACACACTGCCCTCAGGACAGAGAGCACACTCCTTGACCCCTTAGCCTCTCTGTCTTTCCACCATATCTCTGCCTTTCCCTTATTTCAGTCCCCTTGGACTTGAACTTGGTTCATCATTCTGAGGACGTTGCCTCCCCTGCAGCTTAGGTGACAGGACACTCTTGTGTTAAGCAGAGAAGTGGCACCATTGCATCTGTGTTAGGAAGGTCCACTCAGCAGCCGTGGTCGGCAGGCCAGAAGAGGGCTGGGTGGAGGCCAGGGAGCTGTTAAAAATGGCCAGGACAGGCCGGGTACGGTGGCTCATGCCCGTAATCCCAGAACTTTGGGAGGCCGAGGCAGGAGGATCACCTGAGGTTAGGAGTTCAAGACCATCCTGGCCAACATGATGAAACCCTATCTCTACTAAAAATACAAAAATTGGCTGGGCATAGTGGTAGGTGCCTGTAGTCCCACCTACTTAGGAGGCTGAGGCAGAAGAATCGCCTGAACTCGCGAGACGGAGGTTGCAGTGAGCTGAGATTGTGCCATTGCACTCCAGCCTGGGCGACGAGAGTGAAACTCCATCTCAAAAAAAAAAAAAAAAAATAGGCCAGGCCAGAAACGAGGAGGCCTGGAGTGGAGATGAACAGCAAGAGAGCCTCACCTCGGGAACCTCCATGATCATTGCAAAAATGGGGTGGTAGGCCGGGCACGGTGACTCACACCTGTAATGCCAGCACTTTAGGAGGCTGAGGTGGGTGGATCACAAGATCGAGACCATCTGGCCAACGTGGTGAAACCCCATCTCTACTAAAAATATAAAAATTAGCTGGGCGTGGTGGTGTGTGCCTGTAGTCCCAGCTACTCAGGCTAAGGCAGGAGAATCACTTGAACCCAGGTTGCGGTGAGCCGAGATCATGCCACTGCACTCCAGCCTGGCAACAGAGCAAGACTCCATCTCAAAAAACAAAAACAAAAATGGGGTGGTGAAAAGTACATCATAGGGCTGCTTTTTAGTTCATTTCAGTAATGTTTGTCATGCCCTTCCACTTGCCTGGATTTGAGGGATGTGCTTGGTGAATGTAGCTCTTCACTGAGTGTTTCCCAGGTAGAAGTGATACGACTTAGTGATCTGGGGTGGGGGGGTAGAGGGAGGGGACCAGGCCAGCTTGGCTTGTCACCTTCCTTGTGCTTCCTAAGCTGTGTTTTTTGGGCCTTGTCCTCCCTTTTTACCTGGGCTGCCCTTCCGTGGTTCTGGCAGGTTCTGGGGTGTTTCAGCTGTTTTTTCCTAGGAGCACCCCTGGCCTGCTTCCCATGTGCCTGCTCGGATGCTGCTACTGGCTTCCTGCTCTTTTGAGGCCTCTGGTGCTGGAAGAACGGGAGGAAGCCAGTTCCCCACAGCTGTGCTCTCTTCCTTCCCTAGGAGATGTGGGTTCCTTCGTGCTGAAGCTTGTGGAAGGCCTTCAGGGCCAGACGTGGGCCCCAGACTGGGTGGAGGAGCTGCAGGAAGCTGATCGGCAGAAGGAGCAGACATTTCGGTGGGGGCTGAGTGAAGTAGAGGTAGGATGGGCATTCCCAGAAGACCCTGCTGCCAGTCCTGGTAACCTTCGCTGTCCTGTCACAGGGAGAAGGCAGCAGTGCCTGTGGCTCAGCACCTCAACCCAGTGCGGGTGCTGCAGCTGGTGGAGGAAACGCTACCTGATAACTCGATTCTGGTGGTAGACGGCGGGGACTTCGTGGGCACTGCCGCACATCTGGTACAGCCCCGCGGACCCCTGTGCTGGCTCGATCCTGGTAAGGAAGGGCCCCTGCCTGGGGCAACTGGTACCCCATCCCTCCGGACACCTTCGTACCCACCTGCTCTTGGTCTTCTTAGGGGCCTTTGGGACTCTGGGAGTTGGCGCCGGATTTGCACTTGGGGCCAAGCTGTGCCGGCCAGATGCCGAGGTGAGGCCTGGATTTGGGAGACTGGCTGCTCTCTGGGCTCTGATCCACCCTAACCATGCTGGGTCCCCTCCCCACCAGGTCTGGTGCCTATTTGGGGATGGAGCTTTCGGCTACAGCCTCATCGAATTTGACACGTTTGTCAGACACAAGGTAACTGGGTAGCCCTGAGGGACGCTTAGGACCTGGGGTTCTGGGAGATGTCACCAGGGGTGGGCTGAGGTGGGGAGGGAGCCTCCTGTCTGGCAGGGGCCCTGTCTAGTAGAGGTCTCTGTCCTCTGGCTGGCCAAGCCATGGGGCTGAAGGCTGCGGCCTGGTCCCATCTTCTTCCTGTAGATCCCAGTGATGGCCTTGGTAGGGAATGATGCTGGCTGGACGCAGATTTCCCGGGAGCAGGTGCCCTGCCTGGGCAGCAACGTGGCCTGTGGTCTGGCCTACACTGGTGAGGAGGCCTCAGCAAGTGGGGGAAGGACAGGAGGCTGTTTGAGTTCCTGCTGGGCTTGTGTTCATCTCCTGGGCTGGCTGCACATGTGGTGGGCTGAGTCCACTGTCTGACTTAATCTTCTCTTTTAGATTATCACAAGGCAGCCATGGGTCTGGGGGCCCGGGGCTTGCTGCTCTCACGGGAGAACGAGGATCAGGTGGTTGAGGTGCTGCACAACGCCCAGCAGCAGTGCCGAGATGGCCACCCAGTCGTGGTAAACATCCTCATCGGGAGGACGGACTTCCGGGATGGCTCCATTGCTGTATAGGGCCTTGTGGGTCAGGATGCTTGGCAGCCTTCCTGCCCCTGGACTGTGTCCAGCTGGTTTGGAGTCTCATCATTGTTAGCCCTGGGCCTATCCCATGAGGCCAGATGACTCCTCAACCTCCCTGAGGAGTGGATGGAAGGGTCAAAGCTCTGAGAGGCTCCTGGTGAGCTCTTGGGCCTTCCTCTCCACAGACCCAGCTGTGCCCTTTGCCCTCTCTTATGGAGACAGAATAAACCACTCTGGCCCACGTGGGTGGAAGTAGTCAGTCTCAGGACCTGTGCATATTGATTTATTATCCACAAAGATGGAGGTGCGGAAAAGAGGGAGACAGGAGGGAACCATACCCTCCCAGTGGAACTTGGGCCCACTGAGGCACCATTACTGGGGATTTCAGGGTGGCTGGGCACTGCAAACTGTTCCCTCCTCTGTGGTCCCTGAAAGAGCCCCACACGCCTGCTCCAGACGTGTCCATGCACACCAGTCGTCACAGACACACATGCATATGCACGGAGGCAATAAATATGTTCCGTACCAGACTGCCCCCAGCCTGATGCTTCAGGGGGGCCCCCTCCAAAAGGGAGGGGCTTAAGTGCTCAATGTTTTTCAGGGGTGGGGAGAGGGGGATGGGGATGGGAAAGGCCAGACTCTGTTATCTCCATTTGCTGACTAGAGGAATCATGGGGTCTTTTTGGAAAAAGGGTGGGGAAAACGAGCTGTTTCTCTTATGTCCCAGGCTGCCCCTGTATCCCTGCTGGAACCCAGCATAGGGGCTGCCCCCCACAAACAGTGCCTCATGCTAGTCCTTGGGTCGTCCAAGGGAGGGAGAAACAGAGTGCAATGCTCAAAGCTAATACTGATTTGGTTGGCAGCAGCAAGAAGACCCACTAGAGGTGGCTCACCATGCCAGGGTAATGTTCACTGTAACTGGTGTTTCCCCAGCTAAGGGGAGGCAAGAGAGGCCAGCCTAACAAGCACTAGAACTGCCTTTTGTGGCAACAAAAAAGGTTTTCCTTGGTGCTTAGGAAAGATGGTCACAACCACTGGTCCCTAAAATCACCAGTCCCCAGACTTTGCAACTAGTGTCCAAATACTGGGCCCTGGAAACCAGGAATGACTCTCTGTGACTCTCGGCCATGCACGCGACTGGTCCCGCAGTTAACTCCCTGGCAACCAGGAGCTCCGCCTGAGCAACAGGTCTGGCTCTCCTCGGTCACCAGGGCACCGCCTTAGCAACTGGGCACCTGGTCCTTAGTAATGAGGGCCCCACCCCGTCCTCTGGCTCAGAGGCACACATTGATCTGCTTGGAGAGCTCCCTCTCCAGATCCAAGATGAGGGCATCGAAGTCTTTGAGATTCAGGTGCGGGTTGAAGGGCGCATCGAAGTCGTCTTCGAAGTCAGCAGTGATCCTTGGCTCGCTGGCCTCGTCCTCGTCCTCGCTGTCACTGCCCGTCACGTGGTCATAGTCCGGCCCGGACAGGAAGTCCCGCCCACATGGCAGGAAGTCCCGCCCACAAATGCTCCAATCGCCGGCGTAGCGGTTGCTTGGGGGGCTCTCGGGGCCTCCTCGGCCCCGGGGCCGAGACACCACTTCGGGGTCTGCTAGCGGCAAGTGCAGAGGTGGCTGTCGTTTAGGCCGCAAGTACGGTGCGACATCTGGAGCTTCTGGGGGCAGGTGAGGATCTGGAGAGAGACAGGGTGGATCATACACAGAGGCGACAACCGACCTGGTTGGTTGCTTAGGCAACTAGGCCTCTGATTAGCATGCCAAGAGGCAGGGCCTCTGACTGCATCAAGGATGGATAGGGGCAGGTGCTCTAGATCATGCCTGTAATCCCAGCACCTTGGGAGGGCTGAAGTGGGTGGATCACCTGAGGTCAGGAGTTCAAGACCACTGTGGCCAACATGGTGAAAACCCGTCTCTACTAAAAAATACAAAAATTAGCTGGGACTGGTGGTGTGTGCCTGTAATCCCAGCTACTTGGGAGGCTAAGGCAGGAGAATCCCTTGAATCTGGGAGGTGGAGGTTGCAGTGAGCTTAGATTACGCCACTGCACCCCAGCCTGGGCTACAGAGCAAGCCTTCATCTCAAAAAAAAAAAAAAAAAAAAAGGAAAAGAAAAAAAGATGGATCGGCTCCATGGGGCAAGGTGATTTAGTTTATAATCTCAGTACTTTGGGAGGCTGAGGCAGGAGGATGGCTTGAGATCATAGGGAAACCCTGTCTTTACCAAAAAAAAAAAAAAGACAAAACAGATTGGTTGGATCTGAACTGGTTGCTGAGGCAACAAGGTACCAGTTTACCCCATGAGGGGGTGTAGGCTGCTTCAAGTCCAAGACACTGGTTGGTCCCCTACAGTGGCATCACTGCAGCAGCCTGGCTCAGATTGGTGGTGCAGGCCCTGGACTTGAGCTCACCTGGCCAAGACTGCAGCAGGTAGTGCAGCACCTCGATGTGGCGCTTAAAATCCACTGCACTGGTGAGGCCTGGGCCAGAGCTGCGGACACGAGACCGTGTGGGCGCCTGGCGTGCCGGCAGCAGCACAGGCCCGAAGCACACGGCCAGGTTCTGCGGGGTCATGCGGTTGTAGGCATGGAAGGAAGAGACGAGGCGCAGGTGGTCCAGGAGAAGTGTCAGCGTGGCCTGGGAGAGGGTTGAGAGGATGTAAAGCAGACAGAGTCAGGACCCTTTGGCACCTACCTGCAGGAGACTAAGGTGGCTAGAGTAGGGAAACTGAGGTTCACGGTCTCATAGCTAGGATGTGGTCGGGTTAAGACTGTTAATCATCAGGTATTGGTATTATAATCCTATTTTGTTGGAGAGGATACTGAAGCCAAAGGCAACTAAGCATTGAAAAGGCAGGGCTGGGACTTGAACCCACTCCTGTGTGTTAGGCAGAGCTGCCGTGAATCCCATTTTACAGAGGAAAGTATTGAAGCACAGAGAGGGATGGGAACGGTCTAGTTTCCACAGCCAGGAACCTCTCTTGTAGGTGGAAAGACCAGTATTCAGCCTACATTTTAATTTTTTATTTTTGTTTATTTTTTGAGAAGGAGTTTTGCTCTTGTTGCCCAGGCTGGAGTGCAATGGCACAATCTAGGCTCACTGCAAGTGATTCTCCTGCCTCAGCCTCCCAAGTATCTGGGACAGGTATGTGCCACCACAACTGGGTAAGTTGGTATTTTTGGTAGAGATGGGGTTTCTTCATCTCTCCATGTTGGTCAGGCTGGTCTTGAACCTTGGGCAATTCACTCAACTACTTTGGGCCTCAATTTCCAAATCTATGAAGTGGGATGCTAATAGCACCTATTTCCTGGGGATATGATGATGCTGCAAGCTCATGCCCATCGCAGACCCAGACATGGGTGAAACTTTCTATGGGTATCAGCCCACTCTCAAACCCTACCACTCCCACCAGGCCCAACTCACCCTTTCCACATCTGGCAGGCAGCTGAGGAGACCTCGGGTGCTGTCAGTGGTCGGGGGAGCTCTGTTTGGGGGGTCACGGGCCATGGCTTCCAGTACCACCTGATACAGGGGCTGGGTGATGAGTGGGGTGGGCAACTCTCGAAGATAATCCTTGAGGATGCCTGTGAACACAGGGTCCCCGCTGGTCAGGGCACTGCTGGCTTCTGAGGCCGAGGAGGGACACAGATGAGAGAGAAGAGGAGGTGGGTGAAAGCAAGGTCAGATAGGAGGAATGAGGTGACAGAGGAGCCCCAAGGCCTTGAAGTGAGGCATTGAATGGGGTGAGCAGGCAGGGGTGAGGGGGGTATGCTGACCAGTGATGACATTGATATCGGGGTACAGGTCCTCAGATAGGCAAACCGCTGCACTGTCCCGCTCAAAGGCATCCCGAAGCTCTTTCTTCACTGCCGCCGAGCCACAGAGACGGTACAGTCCCACTACCTGGGCGTGGGAGGGAGAGAGGATGTCTTCCAGGTGGGGCCACAGACTAATCAGGGAGCAGCAGCGTGAGCATTGGAATTCTGGGCCAGGGCAGCGATGGGCACTATTGGCTGGGAGGTTGGAACTACCTGGACAACCTGGCTTTATATACCCTCTGCTCGGACTACTTGTTTTGGTTCCCACCTCCTCTGGCTTAGGAAACTCTGACATTTCCTCCAGGAAGCTTTCCATGACTACCCCAGGTTTTGTTTTAAACAATCCCAGACTCTAGGTACCCCCGCCCCCAACTCTAGTCCCAGTTACAGTTTTACATTTGGGAATTACTAGCATCATAGTTTTTCCCCCATCAGACCCTGAGCTCCAGGAGGGCTTGGGTCCTGTTGTTAAATAGATGGATGACCCACCGGTTCTGCCCAAGGTACCACAGTCAAGGGAGGCCTTTCTGCCTTTGTCTAGGCTGGGATTGGTGCCAGGAGCGGCTCAGGTCTGGGGTCTGGCATCTGTACGCTGGGTGTCCTGTAGTGGAGCTGAGGTCCGGGGGCCGGCAGGGGTGAGTGGGGTGGGGTGGGTGCTCACCCGCAGCCCCCGGCGCTCAATTTGTCCAACGCACTTCTGGATGATGAGGGGCACCTGGCCAGGCGGCCGCTCCCGCTCCACCAGCAGTGGCAGGGGCAACCCAAAGACTCGGGGCTCAGCTGTGGCAGGGGCTTCCTGTTGCTCCGACAGGGTCAGCTTGGCATACAGCAGTCCCTGGGGCTCCAGGCGCACAGCCAGCTGTTGGGCCTGGCACCCTGAGGACACAAGGAGGCCTGAGCTGGGTGTGCTCTGAAGGTTCTTGTACCTTGGCCTCCCCACTCCAGGTCACACTTTTCACCCAGAGCCCTGCCAGCCCAGCCCCCTAGGCACTCTGCGGGGGTGGCGATGGGGTTTGGGGGTCCCTATCCCCCCTCCCCTGCAGCCACATGTCCTACCTCGGAAGACCGTGGGCAGCAGCACAGTGCCCTGGGCGCAGGGCCGGTGCCTTCTCACGCCAGGGTCCCATGCAAGCACCAAGGCCCGCAGGAGCCGAGCGGCCTCGAGCTCCAGGTGGAAGGTGTGGTCCAGCCTCAGGAAGTCCGGCCCCCCTCGCAGTGGCCCCGTTCGGGCCCGGGCCTCCCCATCCACTTGCAGTAGGCAGCAGAGGTCTCTGGGGGTGGCCCCTGGTGCTGGCCGCAGCCCCCCAAGGCCGTACAGGTGCAGGCTGAGGCGGCCCCAGAGTGCGGCCGGGGGCGACCGGGCTGTGGGACCCACCTCGTAGGGCCGGAAGGAGGTCGGCGACGGGGGCCCAGCTGGACGCTCCGGTGAGTCCCCGTCGCTGAGGTAAC